ACACCTGATATTTCCCAAGGCCCTGGTGTCTCTTTTATTTCCACAGCTAGGGCAGCAGCTCCCAGGATAGCCTCCTGCCTTCAGTCCTCCTCCTCCCCTTCCTCCGCTACCTGAAGGGCAGAGAGACCAACCGTGGCATTCAGAGCTCTCGGGGCTCCCCACTGCCCTTAGGATGGTGCAAACTCCCTACCATGATTTTCTAGGCCCTGCCTCCCAGAAGGTCCCTGTCCCCCAACCTTTTCACTTCTGTAACACTGACCTCCTGTAACACTGACTGCCAACACACATCCATTCCCCTCTACGCACGAAGGCCTCTTACCCGCAACACTTTTGACATTTCAGGCCCAGATAATTCCTGTGCATTGCAGGACATTCAGCTGCATCTCTGGCCCACGTGTATTAGATGCTAGGAGCACATTCCCTATTCGTGTCAATCAAAAAGATCTCTAGACTCTGCCAAATGCCCCCAGGTGAGAGCCCCTGCTCTGGACCTTTGCACATGAAAGGTCTCCTTTCTTTTCATTTGCACCTGGCTTCCCCATCATCACGTGAAACTTTGGTTGAGCTGCATCAACTGTCAGGAGACTTCCTGGCTCGCCCAGGCTAGCCCAGGACAGCATCCCCCCTGCCCTCCTCACTTCCCGGTGCGCTCTCCACCACTGCTCTTGTGACACCGCATTCGACCCATCTGGTGATGCACTGTCACCCCCTCTGTAAGGGGGGGCTCCTCAGAACCCACCTCTCCGGCTGTGGAAGCCCCGACCCCAGGGACCTGCAGAAGCACAATAGAGCAGCAGGTCGGAGCGACGGCTTCTGACCGGAGGCAGAGAAGGCTCTGTGCAATGCAGCAGAGACGCAGAAGGAGAAAGATTAGAGTCGGGGCCGCGCCTTCCAGGTTGGAGGCCTTGCCGGGAACAGCCCGGACAAAGGCGACCAGGTGGGCATGTCAAGATGAGACTGGGAGGCGGTGGCTGGAGCTCCCAGCGTGGGGGGTCTGGGAGCGAAAGCTGGAGGCCAGGTCGTGAAGACCCCTGGAGGTGTTCTGCAGCCCCAGATGTATTCAGCAGGATGTGAAATTAGGGAAGTGGGGGCAAGTCTGGGAAATGCCTTGGTATCAGTTGAGCTGGTTTCTTTACCTTAGGGCTTCTCAAGAGCCTTTAATGTGCTCACAGGCCGGGTAAATCTTTACAAGGGAGAGATGCGGCAAAAAGTCATGTCCACAAGTAACTAACCACAGAAGTGTTTTTTCACAGTTCGGTTCAGTTGCTCAGTCGTGACCAACTTCTCTGTGGTCCCATGGACTGCAGCATGCAGAGCCCTCGGAGCTCCCCACTGCCTTTAGGAAGGACAGGCCTCCCTGTCCATCACCAACTCCCGGAGTCTACTCAAACTCATGTCCATTGAGTCGGTGAGAGTCGTTTCTTTCACAGATCCTCTCAAATGACCACTGTCCCACAGTCTGTTGTTGTTTAGTTGCTGACTCATGTCCAACTCTGCGACCCCATGCACTCTAGCCCACCAGGCTCTTCAGCCCATGGGATTCTCCAGACGAGAATCCTGCAGTGGGTTGCCATGCCCTCCTCCAGGGGATCTTCCCAACCCAGGGATTGGTCATGTGTCTCCTGCATTGGCAGGAGAATTCTTTACTGCTGAGCCACCAGGAAAGCCTGGTCTACCCTTGGGAAAATGCTTCTTGGAGCCGAGACATGAGTTGCACCTTGAGAAGGAGTGCGAGGTAAAGACTATCTGGGTTTGGGGACAAAGGTCCTGGGGGTCATTTGGAGGCCTCAGAGCTGGGGCTGGGGCTTCAGCCACATGGCTCCTCTCCCAGCCGCTGGGGCATCTGCAGTCCCAAGAAGGAACACAGGCTCCTGCGAGAGTGGCTGCAGGAAGGACCAGGCAGGCAGTGCAAAATTTATTATAGGAAAACAGTCAACCCCCAGACCACTTGGACCACCTCCCCCAGGCCCCTGGGCCATAACATATGGTGTGGTTTAAATTTCTAAAATTGAGGAGTACTTAAGGAAAAAATGTTGGCAAGCTCTGAGTACTTGTAAAACCATCTGAGCTGAGGGGGGAGGCTGGGCCCCAGCCATCCAGGAGACGCAGGCACCACGAGGCAGGGGCAGCAAGGTCTGGAGGGGCCCAGACCGGGGCCCACGAGCAGAGGCTTCTGGTGAAGGCTGGCCAGTGGGGAGAGAGGGAAGTGACCCCCTGCAGCAGCCCTAGAATGGGCTGAAGGAGCCAGCAAGGCCAGCCAAGGAACCACCTCATCCTCAGCACAGATCCCAGCCAGACCAGCAGGTGTGGGGGTGGGGTGGGGGTCACTAGGGGTGGAAGGTCACTGGGAGGTGGGGTGGGGGTCACTGGGGGAGTGGGGGGATCACTGGGGATGGGGTGGGGGGCTACTGGGGGGTGGGAGAATCACTGGGGATGGGGTGGGGGGTCACTGGGGATGGGGGGTCACTGGCACATGGGGTGGGGGTCACTAGGGGTGGGGTGGGGGACTCACTGGGGATGGGTTGGGGGGTCACTGCGGGGGTGGGGTGTGGGGTCAACGGGGGTGTGGGGTGGGGGATTACTAGGGGTTGGGTGGGGGAATAGGAGGGTGGTGGGAATAGTGCACCATAGGGAAAGCCCAAGGGCTCCAGGATCACCTTGACCAGGGTTCAACTCCTGGCCGTGTGACCTGAGGCAGTGACAGCCGCGCCCCCACCCCCCCAGCCTCCTCATCCTCATCCACAAGATGGAGCCAACAGAATCACATCACATGGTGACAGACAGAGCCTGTACACAGTGGGTCCCCAATACATGTCAGCTGCCATCGTCTGGGGGAAACTCAAGCAGGTGGGCAGCCTGAAAGGGGGCGCAATGGAGAGCTAGACGGATGAAGCTGAGCCACCGTGGACACCACCTTGACCGAGGGCAGCAAGAGTCTATCAGCTTCAGAGCCGCAGGAGGTCAGTCCCTGCTCCGGGCCCCGGCAGCAGCCTATAGACAGGGCTATCTATCCACCACTCATCTCGTGGAGGCTGGAACCATCACAGAGTGTCTAGCTGGCGTCTGGCTTGCTTCAGGCGCTCAGCAGTGAGCTGATCTCACCCCCCTGGGGTATTTACACCCCTCAAGCTTGTTATGCCCAGAGTGCTCACCCTGTGTCAAGTAGTGGCCAGGAGATCAAAAACATCTGCCCACAGCCGCATCAACACGTCAGCAGCTGTGACTGGGTGGACGCAGACCCTGCTCAGACACTCTCTGTACCAAGAGACACTTCATACAGAGCACTTGTAAAACTGTCTGAGCTGAGGGGGCGGCTGGGCCCCAGCCCTCCAGGAGATGCAGGCAGCACGCAGCAGAGGCAGCAAGGTCTGGGGGGCTCAGACCGGGGTCCAAGAGCAGAGGCTTCTGGTCAAGGCTGGCCGGTGGGGAGAGAGGGAAGTGACCCCCTGCAGCAGCCCTAGGATCGGATGAAGGAGCCAGCAAGGCCGGCCAAGGAACCACCTCATCTTCAGCACAGATCCCAGCCAGACCAGCAGATGTCGGGGAGGGGGGGCAGGGGGGGTCACTGGTGAGGTGGGGTGGGGGTCCCTGGCGAGGTGGGGTGCAGACACTCTCTGTGCTGCCATCTAAGCATCTGGATGCAGTTTGTGTAGGGACCTGGGTCCCCAGGTCTGTTCCTGGCAGCCCTGCAGACAGCGTGCAGTCAGGTGTGCCCAGGGCCACGCCTTGTGCAGAGCGAGCCAGCCCTGTCCAGCGTCTGAAAGAGCGGATGAACATGAATCCTCTTGCTTCTGAAAAGTGCAAAGGCCCTGGGGTGGCCTGCCATTCCATTAAGAGGCATGTAGGATTATGATGGAAGCAGAAGCAGAGAAACAGCGGAGGGAAGCAATGGGGGTCTGGCTCAGCAGAAGCAGGAGGAAGTCCCATAGGGGACATCCTCTGTGGTGGGGCTGGGCCAGTGGCCGGCAGGCCAGCACAGCTGCGCCAGGCAAGGGCTCAGTGCAGCCTGAGGGGCCCGCATCCCATGCCTGGGCCCCTGGGATGTCCCTAACATCACCAGGGGCAGCGAGGGTTTAGGTGGGACCAGAACTGCCAAGGACCCCTGGGGCCCTGCTGAGAACGACGAGGTGGGGCTTACCCTCCTCAAGGGACTTCCGTGCCGTGTGGATAAAATGTATAAAACTGTGCAGAAACCATCCCTAAGTGCAGGGAGGGGAGAAGGCCTGGTTGTAAACTCGGAAGGAGCTGCTGTGGGTTTAACCCCCTTGTGAATGCCTTCACCAGTAGGTGTAGGGGAGGGCAGGTGTTCAGCGGCCCGCCTGTCGCCGGAGGAGCTCTGTGTGTGAGCTGGAATCCTTCTGTTCACAGTCCTACCTCTGTCTCCCGACTGGAAGTCAGGAGTGGCTGCAGCAGCCCTGATTCACCGCCTCCAGCGTCAGGGCCACCATGAATGCGCACAGCCCATGGGGGTGGCCCCACGTCCCACAGGAGGTCAGGATGGCCCCTTGCCCTTCAGCATACCCCAGAGCACTTCGGAATACTAAGCATTCTGCTCTGTGTTCAGCCAGTGTTACCTCTGCCCATTCAGCTCCAGCCAGGCCCTCCTTCTAAGCACTCCTGGGCCCTTCCATTCTCACCAACCTCTCAGACACACATCTGCCACGCCCTCTCTTCTGGGTACTCTGACCCCTGCCTCAGTTGAGCCTTCACCTGTCCTGCCACAAATGCCTGGGCATGGGCAGAGGGCAGCAAGAGTGCCCCTGGAGGGGACTGGGCCGCCAGGAAGCAGGCCTCTCCACTGCAGGCCTGCTCTGGCCTGGACCACCTGCCTTGGCCCTGCCAGGCTTGGGTACCTCTGAAGAGGATGAGAATTCTGAATCTGAAGACCAATGGCACCCCTGGCTGGGTGCTCCCCCTGGCCTGGCACAGACCTGGGGGGCCCATATTCCTGGATTAAGGCCTCCCACTCCTCCTGCTGTGGGGTTTGGGCAGCCTCTTACCTTTGGGGTGAGGTACTTGGTCATAATTTCCTTCCCTTTTTCTCCCAGTTTTTCATCCGGAGTAACTTCATATTCTGCCTAAAACAGAAGAAGGAAAAGAACAATAATAGATTTGCTCACGAGCATCTTACAATTGTAGAACCTTAGAGGCCTCTGGAGAAGACACCCTGGAGGGCACGTGACCGAACTCCTTCTTAGGCAGGACAGGGAGTGAGGCCCAGAGAAGGGAGGGGCCCTGGTGTCCAGTCCAGCCGGCTCTGCTCCACTGCGGACACGTGCTCAGAACAGCGGCAGCACATTGGAGTCACTGGGGAGCCAGCGCTGGTGCTTGGACCCCGCCCCACACCCACAGAGTCAGACCCTTTGGTGATGGGGTCAGGCATCCAGGCAGCTGGTGGAGAGAACCACAAGCTTAGGAAAATCAAAGGAAGCTGCTGGAAATTAACTAGAGCCAGCAAACTGGAAGGCCCTCAAAAGGCTGCCTGAGGTCACTCAGACCTTACATGCTGCATGACCTTGGACAGTTTCTTCAATCTCCATACAATGCAGATGGAAAAAGCGCCTACATGTAGGGTGATTGCGCAGGGAAAACAAGACAAATCTGGGCACATAATAAATACTCAATTAACGGCTGCTGTATTTACCACCATCGCAATTACTACACCTTGTAAGAGAAGACGATAATATGCATGCTATAACTTTGACAGCTTTTCAGTTTACAAAGGGAACACACAGAGATTTTTCAGATGCTCTTATATGAACCTTATTTAAGCCCAGGTATTGATATGATGGTAAAGAACCTGCCTGCCGATGCAGGAGACATGGGTTTGATCCCTGGGTCAGGAAGATCCCCTGGAGAAGCTAATGGCAATACATTCCAGTATTCTTGCCTGGAGAATTCCATGGACAGAGTAGCCTGGTGGGCTACAGTCCAGAGGGTCACAAAGAGTCGGACACGACTAAGCGACTGAGCACACAATGACACAGAAGGCAGGGCGGCAATCACACCCCTTCATCCACATACAGAGAGCAGGGGCTTCAGCAGAGTTGCCCAGGGTCAGTGGTGGGGAGGCAGCAGGGCTGGGACATGGACCTCCAAGCCCGGACCCCTTTCACAACAACACCAAGGAATTTAGGACCCAGATCGCTGACCATGCCAGTGGGACCCAGGCTCTAAAGAAAGAAGTGAGGCTTCAAAAGACAGACCACTTTATTTTCCCTGACCCCAAGTGAGGCTCCTTCACAGGCACTTGACCCACTTGCCAAGAGGATAAAAGGCTGCCTCGACTTAATGAAAAGCCTGGTGAGCTTGCCTTTCTCATTTCAACAAGGGAACTAATTGCAAATTGTTTATAACTGGTTCAAAATCCGCCACCCAAGGATTTGTCAGCCTCCATCCAAAACTACAGCTATTTCCAAAGAGACAGGCAGTGGCATCAGCACAGAGGGGCTGAAACTCCTTTCTTGGCCACCTCACTGTGGAGTTAGACCCCAATACTTACCCCCACCCACACTCCCACCCCTGGGCTGGTTCAAAGCAGACTCTCAACTCAGTGTCTAGAGTCTGGTTTCTCAACAGGCCAGCCAGGAAGACCCTCCCGGCTGGAGCTGCACCTCTCTGGGGCAGAGGGTTCTAGAACACAACTGCCCACCTATTTTCCACGGGGGGCAGAGAGAAGCTCCCAGTGTCCAGCTGCCCTGGGAGCCCCGCCTGGTGGTCTGGCTCTGTGGGAATTTATCCAGACTGCTTTGCAGGGCCCAGGCCACAGGCAAATGGCCGCCTACCTATTGGGGGGTAACTCAATCCCATGCAGAACCCTGGATTTGCACCATCCCAAAATACCTCTGCAAAGGTAGCTCTATTTAACCAAACGGAGGCCTGAGGCTCACTAATCAGCCTCAATAGCCAGCTGAAAATATTATTGCTCTGGGTACTAAAACCCACGTTAAAAAAAATAGCAACACTTTCAGGTCAGCTGCCTCCCAGTAGAGGCTCTGCTGGGCAGCTGGGCGCCAGGGTTCCACAGGGAGGCAGCCGGGAGCATGCCGGGACAGGCCTCCCCAGCCTGCGATCAAAAGGCCTTTCTTTGAGAGTCCATGTCAGGTCACCACCACTTGAAGAACATTTGTGTTGGGAGGCAGAAAACCAACAGAAGGCTTCCAGCTGGGCTTTCTGCACCGATTAAGTCACCTGGAGTGACAGGCCATGTCTCCACTGTGACCCCCGAGAGGGGCTCATGGGGGACCCGTCCTGAGAGACCACCTACAGAGAAAAACACCATGGCGGCTCGGCCGGCCGGGCAGCGCTCAGGGCAATCACATGGACCTGGGGCAGCGGACCACCCGGGAATCGGCTCCCGCGGGGGCACCCCTGCCCAGGTGGTGGGCAAAAGCTGCCGAAATCAGCTGAAGCCAGAAAACATAAGCAGCAAATAAGAAGTTGGGTTGGCCAGTGCTCTGTGACAACCTCAGAGAGGTGGGATGGGGTGGGAGGTGGGAGGTGGGAGGTGGGAGGTGGGAGGTGGGAGGGCGGTTCCAGAGGGAGGTGACATATGTATGCCTATGGCTGATTCATGCTGAGGGACGGCAGAAACCAACACAACGTTGTAAGGCAATTACCCTCCAATTAAAAGTAAATAAATTAAAAGAAGTTGGGTTGGGCCAACAGCCTAGAATTTTACAATTAGAAATGGAAATGGCAGACAGTGACTTCAGTGAACAGAGAGGTAAACGACACGCCAGGATGACCTGTGACATCCATCCATAAGAGTTCCCTCCAACAAGCCGGGGGTGGACTTGTCCCCACCCCACCCCCCCAACAGAGGGGACACACACTGTCCTCCCTACTGTGTTGCCCACTTGAAACCTTCTCCTGCCCAGGGCTCAGCCCTAACGGCCAGACTGCCAAAGAGCTCCTTGCCAATCCACTCGGAGAACACTTCTCTTCCCCAGATACATCCATGGTGCCAACCGAGGGAGGCATTTAATGAGCCTTCTCTCCGCATGGTGATTTATGCCAAACACAGGAATGGGCTTTAGGGAGGAGATGCTGTAACACAAAGTGCAAAATACGACATTGAGTTCAAGGCAAAAAGAATTATTTATATATCTGTGCCTGCCAAAAGGGTATAAACATCTGTGTACATCCTAGTTTATAAAGCCAATATTTCATTCTCTTGGCGAGCTCTAATTGCATCATCCATCTCAGAAAATGCTAATGAAAATATGTCCCCTATTAAACACATTTCTCTCAGATGAGTTTTTAAAAAAACATGAAGATTGCAAACTGGTACAAGGGGCCCTGCCACGTTCTCACAGAAGCCGGCACTGGGTTTTACAGAGCGGAGTCTGAGTCGAATTCCTCTCGGCAAGATGTCACCCCCCTCCTCTCGGGAGCCCTTCTCCTGCCCTGGCAGGAAGATGAAGTCAGAGAGGCTTTGAGGTCTCGCCACCTCCGGCTTCTGTAATTACCGATGTGGTCAGCTTTTCCAGAGTCTTCGCGGCAGGGACAAGTGACGCGCCCAGCTGCTCCCCGCGGCCCTCTCTGGAGAAACACCCGGCTCCTCCCACACCGGCCTTGGCATCTTGCCGGTGCCAACCCTGGGGGCCAGGGGTTTCCGTCTGCCCCTCTGGAGTCACTGCCCGCCCCGCTTCGGGACAGAGGAAAGTGAGGGTGGGGAGTCCCCTGCCAGTTCCCTCCCTGCCGGGCGCCCAGGCTCCTGGATCCTTCTTCTGAAAGCCCAGCTCCTGCAGCTGCCCTCTCCCACTCCTTCCTGAATGGGCCCTGTCCCTGCAGAGCTGGAGGTGGCGAAGGCTCAGATGTACCTGCGTACACAGGCCAGGACTCCAACAACTGCCCTTCATTAAATTCTACTTCTTTCACACATGAGCGAGCCATCCATCTCTGGCCAGGCCCCTCACTGATGCTTGAAAACTCCTTCAGAAGACTGGCATCGCCTGCCCCTTCCCATCCCCCCAGCTAGAATGAAGAAGCTCTACAAACAGGGGTGTCCCCACACCAGGGTCCCAGGATCAGATGGGCCTGGTCAGCCTCACAGCCTGTGTCCACCTGGGCAGGCAGAGTCTTCTCAGATGTCTGGTCGTCATGTGAGAAGACCTGTCCGGCCTGGGTTAGGAAGGGGTTCCCTGGCCCAGGGTCTATGGGGCAGGCTCAGAGAAAGAAGGGAAGGAGGAGAGGACCCCTGGCCATGTGGGGTACAAACTGAGGGTGACAGGAGGGACCCCAAGGTGGGGAAGCACCATAGCCACCAAGCTTGGCAGAGGTGAGCTCGGAAAAGTCAGAGGAAAGGTTCTGACCCTCTCGTGGGGTGGGGGTGGGGGGGCGGGGGGTGGTTGGCTGACGTGTCTGAGTCCCGCGGTGGAGGGCCTGTGCTGTCGCCTCCTGCCCGCCGGTCATTCTCGCGGGAGCTCAGCCCTCGGCGGCTCTCTGCCACCCCTTCACCGCGCCTCCTCTGCCCCCAGCGCCCCGCATTCTTCCTCTGTCCTCACTCCCCACAGGGCTCATAAGGCCATCATGCAAAGGGCTCTCCCCGCTACTCTTTCAATTCTAAGTGACCAGAATCTCAACCTAGTCTGACTCAGGTGCAACTAGAATCTCTGGGTTCCTGAGCTCCAAGGATGGGGTGAACAACCAACGTGTGGGGAAAATGGAAATGCAGCCTGGCCCAGAGCAACAGAGCCAGGGACATGAGCACCTCTGGAAGCTATTCACAGTGTGTGTGTGTGTCTGTGTCTGTCTGTGTGTTTATGTGTCTATGTGTGTCTGAGTGTGTCTGTGTGTGTCTGTGTCTGTGTGTGTGTGTCTGTGTGTGTCTGTGTGTGTGTGTCTGTGTGTACGTATGTGTCTGTGTGTCTGTGTGTGCATGTCTGTGTGTGTGTGTCTGTGTGTGCGTGCATCTGTGTGTATCTATGTGTGTGTGTGTGTATGTGTCTGTGTGTGTGTATGTATCTGTTTGTGTCTATGTGTGTGTGTGTCTGTGTGTGTGTGTGTGTCTGTGTGTGTATGTGTGTCTGTGTGTGTGCTGGCCTCATTCTCCCTCGGTGCTGCCCCACTTGCT